ATAAAAATAGAGTCACAATTTTCTCAAAGATCAGTATATAATAGTTTATACCTGTAAATCACAAGTTATCACAAGTTATAATCACTTTGCATATTTTTAGTTCTAAAATCGGTTGTATTTCGGCTGAGAAAGATTGTGACTCAATCTTTTGACTATATGGAACACCCTGTATATGCTTTTGACTATTGGGACACCCCATACATGTGACTGTGGATTTATACACACCTCAAGCCCAGAGATGTTCAAAAATGAAACGCTGGTTGCAGTTAAAATCAAGCCTTCATAAAATATGTCTTCCTGGCAGCAGGCTTCCCAGACCAAAAAATTTTCTGCCACTTTTTTTTATAAATTTGAATTTTGGCTGTAATTATTGAACAGCGTTGTGTATTTAATAATTATTCGCTGAAGGCGAGGTGATTAGTTGGGGTATATTCGCCGAGATGAAGATTTGATCGACTAATCAACATGTAGGATTTGTTATGATCACTTACTAATTAGTCATATACTACCTCAATATTAACTAGAAAAATATAGGTTTACTAGCATATAGGAATATGAAGGAATTCTATGAAAAAATATTTGAATTTTGTTTTCAGATTGTAAATCTGAATTTATATCAGTATTCATGCACTATTCAATAATTGTAGTACGGCCTTGTTTTCCACATGTATCATAATCATGAATCATGATAACAGACAGTCGTAGCACCGCCACATGATACAAATTTTTATGTTATGATTGTTGTATTTATGCTCTAATTGTGATGTTTGTTACTTTAATGCAACCTCGTACCGAGGATGACTTTAATGCTGATTTCAACCTCGTACCCAGGGCTTCTGCGCTTATTACAGCTTATTGCTCTCAGAAAGCAATAAGCGGAGAAGCCCTGGGTGGTACAAGGTTGTGCTGATTTTTGAAATTTCCTTGAGCTTAATTATTGATATCTTGATTTTCCTTAAAAATTTCCTGAGATTAAAAAAATTTCCTGGCAGCATGCTGCCGGACATTCTCATGCCTTAGTTCAAATGTTGTGTTTTGGCACCTGGGGTTTCTTCACATTGTCGAAACAGCACAATTGGTCATGGTAACCATGCTTTTGAAGTACAAGCAATTAGAAACTTAAATTAGAGATAATTTCATCAATAATTGGCCAAGGCAACCTAAAAATTTGCGGTTGCCATAGAGTATTTTAATAAAACACAAAACAATAGACACTCCAAAAATTGTAAACATTTTAATTCTTTACGTTTCGACTATAATTTAAGTCATCTTCAGAAGACTGCCACGTATTTCGAAAAGCCAACTATTTATAAGCTAGATGCTTGCGTGTTCAAAGTTTGATAACGTCATTGAACTAACGGAAAATTGTTAATTCTTTCGACGCACGCGCACCATGGTTCAACGATGGATATGAAAAGCCTCTTTAAATAACAATAATGACCAATCGTTAGGTCGATCAATTACTTTACAATTACTATAAATTAAGTCTATCAAACTTGTAGAATAATTACAGTCTAGTAAATTCGCTGGAAAATTTAACAAAGTACGAATAAACTGAAACTCTTCACAATTACAGTACCGCTCAGAATTAACCTAACACTGCGGTTGCGGTCGTTTTGCGGTTAGCGTGCGGTTATCGGGCGGTTAACGTGCGGTTAACGTGCGGTTAACGGGCGGTTATCGGGCTGTTATCGGGCGGTTTTTTTGCGGTTTAGCCCACGCATCGGGAAGAAGCTAACCGCGGTTTAATATGCATTCTGATTCCGAGGTTTTCCGACCAAAAGCAGTAAAATATTCACAGTATAGAATGTCTTCATAAAATGCTAGCTCGGGCTATAATATAACAGCTAAGAGAAAACTTAAAAGCTGTGGTGTTAGCGTCGATTATAATAAAGGCACAACAGATTGTTGATTATAATAAAGTCTTATAATAAAGGCTAGATTGTCAATTATAATAAAGTTTTATAATAAAGGCTCCTGGTTACAGTATAATGTGTGTGCCTAAAAGGCCGAGATTTTATTTACCTTTTAGGTACACGCGTTATATTTAAACCTCTAGCCTTTATTATATTAAAGTAATAAAGAGGAAAGTTAATTTAAGTTGATGCGCGCGCCAAATTCTTACTTATTCTAAAACATCTATTTAAACTGTAATAAACAAAAAGATCCAGACCTATATATTAGCACTATTTTATTGCTGTCTGATGATTTTTGTTCACAATTTGGGTAGGAGTTTTTTAACCTTACTTGGACAACGAGTTTTTTGTTTGTAAACTCTTGTATATATTATTCATGTTTCGCTCGCTACTCTGGTTTAAATAAATGATATTTACAAAGCCCAGGCTTTGTAATAATTTATTTAAACAAGAGTCGGTAGCGAGCGAAACATGATTCACTGATATACCTAGTTGCAGTGAACGAACAAGCTTTTATAACTTGTATATATTGATGAGGCAAGCTTAAGTTCCTTTATTTAAGCCGAAACAAAATGCACATGCATTGCATGCATACATCTATAGATACAATCTGCATGTCCAATTGGCAATTGTATAATTATTGCATGTATTTACATAACGCCAAATCTTCCACAGACAATACAAAATAAATACTGCATTATATATTTAATTGCTAATGCTTAAGGCCAGTTTACACTGAATATAGTTTTTGTGCTCACAGTGTGCTTTGAACAAAGTGTGTGACTGTGTAAACACCCTTCAACTAGACACAAATTAACTAACGTCACAGTTTGTTTATGTGAGATGATGCCACTTTGATCACAGAAACTTTGATAGTGTATGCGGTGGATTAGTTAAAATTGAATACAGTATATTTGACTAATTGTTGCAGGCTAGAGTCGCACGTATCAATTAAGTCTGCCTCTTGTGCAGATCCTCTGTGCAGAGAGTTTTTGATAAAACGCGGTGAAAATTGACAAACGCGAGGTTATAATAGAAAACGCATTTCTAATTTAGCATTTTCTATTAACCTTGCATGCGTTCCCACAATTTTCACCGCGTTTTATCAAACAATCTCTACACAGAGGGTTTGTGCAAGTCTAGGCTCGATATCCATCAGACATCACAGACGAGATGTCCATGTATATCGGGTAGTGAGATATTAAAAATAATCTTTATGTATAGTATAAGTCTGGGAATATTTTACTGGGTACCGATGTCTCGAATCGATTCCTTGCAGAGTTTAACTTTCAGTATGTACATAAATAATAAAGAAGGAATTTACTCACTTGAAACGGTAGCAACGTCTACAGGTTTGAGTTGAAAAATCTCAAGCAGTTATAGCTCACGATCAATATAGCAAGACACCACCAAGACATATCGACAATTTTGTCATACGCAAAACATAGACTATAGTTTTGTGCATGTGTTAATCATGGTGTGTAACTTGGATGTATACAGTATTACAGAGTTCTCCAGTGTATGGTTTTTGCCTTGAATATATTATGTTGTTTACTAGATATCAATTTTCCATTGGATATCAATTCGGCGGTCATTACCTTGAAATCATGTCATAACTTATAATCCCACAATCCACATGGATGTTGGGGCGAAGCAAAAAGAATGCGTATATCAATTGCAATTTATCTTTATTCAAAACGTCAGGCAGACGCATCTTTCTCGCGTTTATAAGACGTCCTGTCTAAAGTAAACATTGTCGGCTGACTGTCATGTCTGCAACTGCATGCAAGGCTACAGTAGCTGATTCATTGCGAGGAGTTTTAGTCGGATCCGTTTGACACATGCAGTGTCACTGTCAGTGTGAACATTAGCTCGGACTTTTAATTAAAATACTGTATAACAATAGCGACAATACTCAATAGCCTTATAAAGTTTAGGCCCAGTTTAAACATGAGTTCGACATGCAACAGCTAGGTAGGCTATAGGCAATACTTTTTGTCAACTCACATTCAAACTAAGTCTATTTGATAAAGGGCAGTATACGGCTTAGATTTATCGTTTTTGTTTTGTGTATGGACAGCAGCGTGCGCACGGGGCTACGGGATGGCATTAAGGCTGTTTTGCCTGTACGTGCGGGGACTACAGTAAATTTTCTCTCCTTTTAACACACTTAATACACTAACAAGCCTCAAGCTTGTTATAGGTCCTTTATGCACTAGTCAATCAAAAGCCCGCCCCCCCCCCGGGGGGATTTTAACATTTCACGGTTGTTAAAATCCCGGCTAAAATATCTTGTTCAATTGTTAAAATCCCCGGGTTACTATACCTAAACATTTGGGTGTTTTTTTTTTCAAATTTCCGCAGTTTGATAAAAAACCTAACATTAATATTTCCATTAACACTCCCCCAAAGTTATAGAGAATAATACATGCGTGCGCGGAAATACCAGATTTATTTCGAGTGTTGAACATGATATCTCACGAGTGAGGGCAGCGAACGAGTGAGATATCATGTTCAATACGAGAAATAAATCTTGTATTTCCAAGCACCCATGTATTTTTCTGTTTATTATATAAACAAAATTTTGTGAAAAACAATAAAACGTCCGTGGCAATGCGTTTTACAACAAATTATATTTTCACACGTAAAAATATCGTATGTACGGCGTATGTGTATAAACTCGAGGCATGATTAATAAAAGCTACTTGATATTTCACCGGCTATTTAGCAGTTAATGGTCTTTATAATGGGACAGTCATAATTAATGACTTTCCTGCTAGTAACACTTCACCATATGTCAGTGATATACATTATCACACAACAATCAGCAGACCGTATCATACTGAAAAAAGGCATAATTCTTGAGCTCATTTCGAATTCAAATAGTAAAGTTAAAATCTGAAGCCAGCTACCAGCTACTATTTTTAGCATATGATGTTTTTTAAAGCAGCTTTGGCCCGCCCCCTGCGCGCCCGCATAACACTCGGGCTCACTCGAGCTGTGACATTGTCAGTGTTTACACGTGATTCACAGTGACAGAGTTCAATAGCAGCAAGGAAACCTTTTACATCAAGAGTTTACAGAATGAGTTCCCGAGCTTCAAGATGTGCACGGCAAGGAAAGCGAATGCTAGTATATTTTCAGGCAGACAATGCAACTGCCATAATGAAAACTAGCGAGGCAAAATCAGTTGTCAGTGGAGGCAAACTTGAAGAGGGGGCATTGGTGTTGGTCGAATTTGACAAGATCGATTTCGAAGGCTTAGTGGTTAAACTTCATGGTAAGTAAAGTATTTAATTTAATAATAGCGGCAACAAGGTTTTAGTATTTATATGATCTTGAAGTATCAGCTTCTATTTGCTTAATAAGATAATTTGTTTACTCTTTTTAATAGACGATCCATGTGTGCTGAGCGAGTACGAAACCGAATTTTTCGAGTCAAACAGGCAGATGAACAAGGAAAACCGTGAACCTGCGGCCAAGCGAGCAAAGATCAATAAACAAACACAACCGGCAGCGACGATGAATTCCGAAGAAAACATGGTGAGGTTTTATATATCGTGGTAAAACATAACGACAGTGTTACGGGCAGTTTTGTAAGGGAAAATTTTATATACATTTATAAATAGACCCATTACAACTCGCACGATGTGTGAAGTAATTAAATCTGGAGGTGTTCGTTACCATGGCACAGCTGAGCCAGGTGTAGGTTCTGTTGACAGACGCATGTGTACAAATTGCGTTAATGAGCAAGCTGATTTGATATTCTATACCTCTCGAACCTCTAATATTAATATTTAAAAATGCAAATAGTTAAAATCTAACAATTATTAAATGAATATATAATGAAGTTAGATGTCAACACTAACAGATCGTTTTCATCTGACGTCACGACGGCCATATTGGTGTACCAAAACAATGAAATGGCGGCCATATTGGTGTACGGTGATCGCTAGATAGTATACTTCAAAATAAGGTTTCCGTTTTTATAACGTAGAAAAAACTATCCTAACGCAAAACTAAACCCTAATCCTAATACTAATACTAACCCTCACCCTAACCCTAACCTAACCCTAACCTAAACCCTAACCTAACCCTAACTTATTTTAATTATTTTAAAAATTGATATTAATACGGAAACCTTATTTTGAAGTATACTATCTAGCAATTGCCATTGGTGTACGGTATGGGAATTAGCTCTTTCTTATTCAAATATTTCGTATTGTTTCACCACCCCACTGGGGCCACCGATCACGTGAGTGAAAACGATCTATACCAATGGCAAAGGCTGTATATGCGCTATATCGCGCCAAATTCAATTGCGCGAACAAGTATGGCTGACATGGTGCGTTTGTGTAATGCACGACCAAACTAACATCACACTCGATTTGTTTGCAATGAAGCAATGTCATCGATTATTTGCTAGAACTCTTGATCCAAAGACAAATTGGTACGCATTCAATGACTCTTTGCACGGCTATACCAACCGAATCGAAACCAGCAACAGAATATTGCGTTCAAGAAATTGGCGGGAGATATGTTCGCCGGATAACTCAAGCTCGAAGGTGTTTGCGATTCCAGTCTCGCACCATTCAATTGGTCCGATTCTGGTACAAGCAATGGCGCTAACGGAAAAAAGCAACTTGATTCAAAATTGCTTAGCCAAGGGCCATTCACGCATATCCAACGCATAGTTAGTGCAATCGCAATTGATATATATATATACATATATATAAGCGCTATAGTTTACAACAGTCCTGAGAAATTACAACCATGGTCCAACGGCAACGTGTTGGTAAGTTGGTTTGACAAAAACTGGCAGCGAATTTGATAAGACAGTTTATACTTTACATTTATTTTACAATACTCGCCTATATTGCTATTTTTATGTTTATTCACTCTGTAATCCAAATCGGTTTCTGTATTCTGTGTCCTCACACATATGCCAACCCAAATCCCTGCTGTCGAGTCCATGAAGGACGAAATGCCGCATACATGGATACTGAATTTTACAGACACAATTATCTCATTTTATGTCACAATTAATAGTCCCTAAATGCTGGATCAAAAAGTATAGTGTGAAATATGATGTGATGGCCTGGTGTTGTTGGCACAATGTATGACTAAAAGTTATGTTGTATATTTGATGAAACTAAGGATAACAAATGAAAAACAACGGCTTGTTATTTGCATAAATGTGAACCTATATAAGAAAATAAGTACATGTGTAGATTTATGAAACATAAAATTGGAGAGGCGTGTATTAAAATTGTAACGGAAAAATATATCCTATCCTGAGGTGTAAAAAAATATGATCCGATCCTAAGGGTATGATCACGCTGTACTAAAAAGCTTGTATTTGGAGCCGGGCATGTAAAAATAAACGAGAGAATTATAATTATTACTAGGACACCAATTACTCAATATGCCGTACTCAGTCAATTATATAGATGTATAGCTACATGTATAACTACTGATATAAGTATAAGTAGCTATATTCAGCATTCACGGCTAACAAATTGGTTTTTATATTGCATGTATCCAAGCATGTATTGTGCTAGACCTATATACTAGTACTACAGCATAACTACCGTATTTTACGACTCGTGTTTTTTATGCGCATATATTCTCTCAGTATAAAAGAAATATGTGCCATATTTTGCTGGCAGGTTATGAAGATGTGCCATCTTTACTTAACCAGTGGAAGCTATGTAGAACGTCTTCAAATTATTAAAATGAAAACATATATTATTTGGTATACAGTGTATACTGTATAATACAGTAGAGCTATAGCTACTTCACATATCGTTTGACATTTGACAATCGCAACGGGGTATTTTATTCTGCGAGTTATTTTAGTATCAATTTTATAATCATTTGGCCCCCTTGTGAACAACCTTGTAATCAAATATCATTGCGTTATGCATGAAAAATAATATTCAACTTCTCCCTCACATCATTTTTGCTTGATTGATGACAGTCTATGGTGTTCTGCAGTTGCAGGCAAAGTGTTGGCGAGGCCTAAACTCACAGCGTGATCCGCACTATATAAGTGCGGTTCACGCTGTGATTTTTTTCGTGCGGGTTGTAATGAACCAGGAACAGTTGCGAAAAATGCAACTACAGGTTCCTGGCAGGAATCGAACCTGTGTCCCTGCGATCCCGGGGCAGTGCTCTAACCAACTGAGCTGCTGAGTCCCGTTGCTGAGCTCTAACCACAAGTTCATGTATATATAACTATTAGGGTACTGCCATGTTAGCCAAGTTACCCCTAGCATTTTCCCTTTGACCATAAAATTGTGTTGACCAGTAATATCATCATAGCATTGTTACATGATGGTCTACGAATCCCAGACAATTTTAAGTGTGTACTCTTCCTAATGTTTCTAATTGCATTTATGACTTAGACTATTCTCCATATCAAGAAGTTGGGTTCTTGCAACTGGGCCTTTTTAATGAGTACCTAGTCATGTATAAACTATATATATACTGATTATTAAACTACCTGCTAATATGTCTTACACTCAAGCGAGTTCTAAAACATTGAGTGGTAATGTGCCCAACTTCATAGACAGATTTTCGGGGGGGGGGGGAGTTCAGGGGAGTGCTACACCCTTCCCTCCAAAAAAATTTCACACACACCCCCCACAAACTTAAATAGTCTACTCCAATGTGCAGAATGTTGATGTTACAAAATCAACATATTGGGTACACTCGAACAGAAAAACTGCAAAACTGTGAAACTAATTGCTCCTTGCTTGCATGCATTGGTTTATTGGAGCAATTGTAAAGTTTTGAAACTTTATTATCTCCCCTGAATAGAGTTTGCAGTGCCTTGTGATGCCAATAGCTTGCACGCAAGGAACCTTTGGAATTTTTACGAACATTATTTATATCTTTTAGGAAAAGGAAATAGACTTTCCTAGATTTAATCTTTACACCCCAAATATTATTTACATCAAAGTTGCATCATAAATTGTACTCAAATTCAAACAACACAATGTCAATGACTTTATAAAAGTAAAAGCGTATTTTCTATTGGCCTATTGGGTTTACACTTTTACAGGTTCATTCAACTTTAAGTCTTAAACTCTATATAATATTTTATATATATATATATATATAGAGAGAGAGAGTTAAAGACTTAAAGTTAAATGAACCCTTAAGATTAATGTTTCACAGTGCTACTGCATGCTGCACCATTGCAATTATGTGTAAAATCGCAATTAATGATTTTCTTTTCAATTTAGATTGAACAACAAATGACTCCGCTTAGAACCCAAAGCTCTAACCAGCAACACACAGAAACAGGGAAACAAAAAAAGACAAAAGAAATAACGGTGAGATTTATATTGACAATAATTGACTAAAAAAATTTTGAGTTTACACTGTAGTTTCATCTCTTTAGGTCAAGGAAAATTTGTTTGCTCGAATGTTTCTTAGGTTCAGTAAACTTGCATTTCAATACTTTAAGTAGTCGTGAACATGCCAGTTTTATAAAACAAGGCACTGCCAGCCACAATCTTGGGCATAACTGGTTGAGACTATTTTTTGCTGTATACAAAATTTGCATATCCGCTATATGATAAATTCCAAGTTGAGTCATGTTGCACTTAGTAACCCCCACTCAATGTCGAGTTTGCGTCATGATAAATTACCAAAAGTTCTAATGCAGTGCATTAAGTACTATGTCAGACTGTCTGATGCCAGACAAGACTGTCCGATGCCAGACAATTTACTCGTAAAATTTTGGGACTCTGGTGACTGTGTAGCTTAATTTATTGAACTGAACGGCCTTTACGTCTTGGCTGTGTTCCTTCTTTGTGGAAGCATATTCTTGCGTACTGCTCGATCTGCACGCTTGTCTCATCCGTAAATATAGCGTCCTCGAATCTATCCTTCGCCTCCAAAGCCGTTAGACAAAATATAAGTCGCTTCATCTTGTTTGGCTCGCGCACAAACTGGCAATAGCGAGCTCTTTCGCTTCGCCAGCCAAGATTCTCTCGCCTTACTCGCTTTATGGTCGCCACTGATATGTCCACGCCAAATTCCTCTGATAATTTCTGCTTTATTTCGGCAGCAGTTAGCTCGTCATTTTCCCTCATTTTTTGGTCAATGAATGCGATCTGCTCGTCCGACAGCTTAAGCTTTCGTCCGCTACGTGGGGCATCGTGAAGAATTTCAGTTTTGCGAAAGCGACAAATAAATAAATTTACAGCGGATCGCGACACCTTTATGCCTTCCTCATTTAAACTCCTAGTTATTCCAACAACTGAAGTATTTGTCGAAAGTAAGGAGACAATTCGCTCCCTGGCATAAAGTGACAACCTCCCCATGCCTCGATGTTTACAAAATATGTCAATATTTACTGTAATATGAAGTACACACGGAGTTTTTATAATGACCCCTTCGGAAATACACGAATATTTACGAATGATATTACGAGTATATACGAACCTTGCGGATCGGTTCGGTTCGGTTGCGGTGAAACCGCGGTCAAACCTCACGGTCACCGCGGTTTAACCTCAAAATTACCGCGGTATAACCTCGGTCAAACCTTTAAATAACCGCGGTCACACCGCGGTCAAACCAAGGTTCAACCGAGGTTAAACCGCGGTTTTTGTTAGGTTAATTCTGAGCGGTACTGTATGTACACGATTAAAAATTTCTGACTTATATTGGACTTGTTCCTTGATGCGTGTGTAAAGACATCTGTCCGTCTTGCCAATATAGGAAGAAGAACAACCAGGGCACGAGAATTTATACACCACAGAATTCTTGTAAGGTTTTGGAATAGGATCTTTTTGAGATGTAAAAGTACTAGCATTAACAGTTTGCCAGAGGGTGACGAACTTGACAGGTTTCTTTTGAACACGCAAGCACAGTGGCGGCGCCAGGCTTCCAAATCTGGGGGGGGGGCATTTGAGGGGCAAACTCAAATTTGGGGGGGGGGGCAAGATAGAATTTTTAAAAAGGTCGCCACCCCCAAAGGAAATTCCCCCCCCCCACAAAACGTGGCGATATTCCTAGGAATATCGCCCCCGGGGGCGAATATCCTAGGAATATCGCCCCCCCGGGGGGTGGGGCAAATATTGAAACTGTAAAAAACAGTTTCATGTATACGCGCATTCACAAATGAGTAATGACAACTTATAAGCCATACATTTTCCGATAACGACAGAACGCTTGTGTAGCCTTTAGTCGCTCTTAGTGACTAATAATTTTTTTTGAGGGGGGGGCAAAATGGGGAGGCAAAAAATAATTTGGGGGGGGCATTTGCCCCCCCTTGCCCGCCCCTGGCGCCGCCACTGCATGCATGCCAGCAACGGATTTACTATATATTCAGCTAGTTTTCGACATACTGAGTCGGACATAGAGATCTAACCAAATGCAGGTCTTTTTTATTTCTATTTTTGTTGCCATGATTGATGTATAATATAACCTAAATGAAATATCTCACTCTTAATTTGCCGGTCATCACGGGTCCCTATACCACCAACTCAGCGTTTTACTACTATTTTCAGTGTCATGTTATAATCACTTTTCGCTTTCTTATAGAACTGATGGCCCTTTGCCTATAAAACCTATATATAGGACTTCTAGGCCTATATGCGAGTAGAAGGGTAGAGAGATAAGAAGTAGTGAGCAAAGATCTTGTTAACTGATTTTGTTATGGCTATGATTCTATAGATTAACCATGAAAACGAGCTAAATGGGATATTGCATGCGCACGAATAGATGAAACATGGCCGAATAAGAACATGTAGAGTATGGTCTGTATACCTATATAATCATTACCTATATATTAGAAAGAGGCAACCTGACCAATATAGACAATACAGACATGCTTGAATTATAAAATACTGGCAACAGATCAACGCAACGCATGTGGTATAATCCAAACAAATTAAAGATAAAATTGAAAGTGAAAACAGTTCGATATTTTTTCCCTACAAAATAACGAGGTAATTTTCCCCAGCTCTTACAGAATTCAGTTTGTTTTAAAATAGTTTTATTCACCTCTCCTTCACCTTTACCTTAATTGGTTTTAATTTAGTTCATCAATTTTGTACTATATTATTTTGAAGCGAGAAATGATTGATGATTAATGAATGTGATTATGGAATAGACAAATTATTTCACAACTTATATCCTCTTAAATATATGACAGCCATAATTAGTGGAGTTTAGAAAAAGATTCCTGTTCCCAATGATACAACATATATAAAAGTACTTGGATATTAAATTATAATCAAGGTGCATGTGTATATATAGTTGTTTTTGTTTCGGCTTTGCAGAGGTGAGAGAAAGGTGACGAAAACGTGTGACCGCAATTTAAACAACTTCTCTCGTCTGAAAAAACGCAATTGGGCTGATAAAGGCTGCGAAATTACTCATTATGGGGTTTTCAAAATATTAGTCTTGGCGATGAAGTCCGATATTTGAAAGTGGATAATTACATCTTCTTATAGAGTTATCGCTAATTCCATCTTTTTCACTGTTATTTACATATACGATTCTTTGCCACTATTTCCTGTCAATGTTTAGATAGTCTTGGCTGTGTAATTCAAGAACCCAAGTGCAGCGGAACAAACAAGAATAGACTGGCATATATTGGACGAGGTAATCCTTAAATTATAAACATTCTAAGTGTTTATTTCAAGTCATACTATCGAGCATAATATCATAATTGTTTTCATAACGTGTTGTGAAAATCAGATGTTCGTGAAGAACACATGAAGTGGGTTTTATGGAAAAAATTTAATTATATTTTGTCACCTCGATTGAATGCATATTTTATTTTGTGCAAGTGTATCAAGAGACGCTTCTGAATTTTCAGAGGCTATTTTGAAAGTATAATGAAACATTTTCCACATATAATCATGATAGTTCTTATCGTGGGAAAAATATAAAAATATATATAGAGAAAATATATGTAAATGTAGGCGGTTATATTTTTGTTATTCTAGAGAGGAAAGGCTCGAGAATAATCAAGGAATGATTATACTGACATTGACATTGTAGTCACAAATTGCACCAGGACACCCTCTTCTTTTTGAGGTAAGCCAACGAAAAACCTCAATTTAAAATTTCAATACATTCATATACATTCTTAAAAATCTCATTAGTATTAGTCCTATATGTTAAACATGTTTGCAAGATGTGCTTGAAGATTATTTTTATAACTATATCTGCCGTCTCCATTCTGTTATTTGTTTGTCATGCTAATATATCAAATTTTATATGCATGCCGCACCGCTACCGCTCAGAGATAAGGAAGACGTATGTGGTTTTCGATTTTGATTTTCCATTAGTGCATTACGATATAGCTATATAGCATTACTTGCATGTGCAACTGTCATTGTGGATGTTCAAACCTCAGATCTTTATGCTATACTAATACATCATCAACTGTGCTTACTTGTATAGTTACATAATTTGTATTAGAAAATAAACATGGTTTGGAAGAACAATAAATTCATTGTTCTATATTTTTTCACGTTCATTAAAGATTTCATTTGTACAGGGTGACCGAACGTGGCGGCGGAGCACAAATCTGCCGACGGTGGCTGCTTGAATGTAGCGGACTGCAAGAGCAGCAGGGCCAGTTACTTCTGAGCCTTAATTTTTCTTGGCAGCAAATGCCAGCAATATTCGTTGCATGACGCTAAAGACTAAAATGTAATGTATATAAAACAACATGCATGACAAGTTGTCAATTATTTAACCTAGCTTGGTAACGTTTCTGAGATGAATTGAGCTAAATTGCTTGAAAACAGTTTTCAATTTCAATTCATATGAATAACACACGGCTTTCGAAGTGTCAGTAGTTTATAATTCTTGTAAAAAAGGCAACTTGCTGCCCCCGCACTGCATATGTTTGAGCAACAGCTAGGGCCCCCGTGACTCCGGCGCCCCGTGTATATATATAGTGCCCTATTTTTGCAGTCCCCCTTTGGGACGCTTTGAAAATGTACAATGCATCATAATAAGGAAATTATCTTGTTTGTTTGGGTTCTTGCTTTTGTGCAATAGATTTTTCAAAACATATATTGTCAATTATGTGCTCGTTTTTTTTCTTGCCCGCTGCATGACGTATTAAAATACAAGTTCTGTTTACTTAAATTGTTATTATGATGTTGTATTATTTTGAACATTGTTCATGACTGAAAATAGTATACAAAACAATCGTAAAGTTCAAACGATTAAAGTTTTAACGTCGTTAATATATACTTTTGTAGCTTCTTAAATCAGTATGCAAGAAAGCACGCCGTGTATAGCCTAGACGAAACATATGTGGCCTTCCCACAATGTAGCAATCGTCTTTAGTATATACTAATAATAATAACTCTTTATTCAATGGGACAATGAGGGTAGCACGGAATTACAATAATTAATAAACTAGAAGCCCTAACACACTATTTTCCATTGCGATGTGGACTATTTCGTTAACGTGGTTGCATGCATTTGGAGTTTGATAACAGTTATCACGTTTTATCTTCCATCTACTGTATATATATATATATATATATATATATATATATATATATATATATATATATATATATATATATATATATATATATATATATATCACTCATGCGAAACATTGAATCACATCACTCATGCGAAACATTGAATCTTTTGACCGGAGATACTATCCTAAAGGCCATGGATGGGAAATTGGTTACTGCACTGATTCTAATAGATCTATCTAAAGCTTTCGACAGTGTACATCATACTTTTCTCCTTACAAAACTTAGCAACGTCGGGGCTTCTCCAAGCGTTGTAAAATGGTTTGAGAGTTACTTGACCGGAAGAACTCAATCAGTCAGAATTGGATCAACTGTGTCTACTCCTCTCCCTGTTTCTTATGGTGTACCACAGGGTGCAATTTTATCACCTTTACCTTTTAGTATTTATACTAACGATTTGCCCTCATCAGTCCACCATAGTAAACTTGAATTGTACGTGGACGACTCCAAGATATTACTATCTTTCACTGTGGCTAATGTGGACTGTTTAAAGCAACAACTTGAGGAAGACTTGTATTTGATTGCAAACAGTTGTTCCGAAAATGAATTGCTTATTAACCCGGGAAAGACCAAATACATGCTGATTGGCACACGGCAAAACCTACAACAACTTCCCGTAGATATGACCATAAACTTCCTCAACGAGACTATTACCCCCGTCTCCTTTGCCAAAGATCTAGGAATGACAATCGACTCTTATTTGACATATGACCAGCACATCACCAACCTGGTTTCCTCATGTATGAATTCCCTGTGCCAAATAAACCGAGTCAAAAAATGTTTCGATAAAGAAGCTTTAACTCTCATCGTCTCGGCACTTGTAATGAACAAAATGTTCTATTGTTCAACGGTTTGGTCAAACACTTCGTCTACCAACATTAAGAAACTACAGTTGGTACAAAATTTTGCATGCAGGATAATAACAAATATTGGAAAGTTCGACCATATTTCGCCGGGCTTACGCGAACTTAACTGGCTCCCATTAAAGGAACAATTACTACTAAGAGAGGCTATTATGATGTACAAATGTGTCAATGAACTTGCTCCACATTATTTGAGCGATTTATTCACAAAACGTTCTGACATTCATCAACGAGATACACGTAGCCATGACTCACTGCAAATACCATTGTACAAAACTTCTGCAGGTCAAAGGTCCTTTCATTATAGAGGCGTTACACTCTGGAATGATTTGGACATTAAGTTCAAAAAGTTAGACTCCCTAAAAACTTTCAAAAACGAACTGAAGCGAAGCATGCTAGAACAAATATATAAGTAGATAATTTTACCTTGTTAAACTTTATACAAATGTCTTACCTTTTTACCTTAATTTAAATTCTAGATTCTAAAACTTGTAAATAGAACAACATTTATTTTTTTGTAAATCAGTGTTGAAAATCCCTATTTAGGGAACACAATAAAGTATGTGTATGTATGTATGTATGTATGTATGTATATATATATATATATATATATATATATATATATATATATATATATATATATATATATATATATATATATATATATATATATATATATATATATGCAACTGAAATAAAGATTTGAAGCTCGACCATTGAAAACCACGATTTTTTATATTTTTATTATCAAATATAGAAATTTAAAAATAATTTTATTATCACGATTTTTTATATTTTTATTATCGCTATAGTGTTTCTTCAGATTTGAAAACCTCATGGGACGCTCCTCCGACAAAAGGCGCGAATTAGAAAAGGTTTCCATATTCATTATAATGAAGCCATGCATTTTCCCGCGAAAAATATAGCAATTTTGAAGAACTGTAAATTTACAGAATTTAAACTGAGAAAAAATGCAGACCAACCATACAAGTCACTTAATTATATGGCCAGCGTGCATGTACTAGATATTCACTTTTAGACAATCGTTAACTGTATATGGTATAGAAGCATTTCGTTTTTAATAAAAAGCAATAATGATGAAATAATATGTTTATATCAGAGTTGCGGACGGTGTGGTCCAGTGTGACCATGCAGGAGTGTATAACTGCATGGTCATGGCCAAATGCTGGCCAAATGCTGCATGACCGAATGCTGGCATCTGTGTGTTGAATACCTGACGATCATCTGTGTGTTGAATACCTGACGATTAAGAAATCTATCACGTTTCGAGAAAAGGCCCTTCGTAACGAGCGATTACATAAGCGATCACGTGAATTGCATGAATAGAAACAAGGTGGAAACAAAAAAAAAACCCTAGAGAAATATTGATTACAAAATTATATACTACTGTCGTGTTCATCTGTGATTCATCTAAGTATGAATAGTCGTAAATGAAAATATTGTCTATGTCCATGTGAAATTTGCTCGTTACAACAACTAAAGCCGTTTTCATGAAAATTTGACTTGTTTTAATCTGAGATTGTTCATCCTTTGATGCAAAGAACGGTATACAAATAAGGTATGCCTTTAATTATTGCATGATATCACATCTCCTGCTCACATCTCCTGTACTATCTCATTGTACCACCTGCAGCATCATCGGAGAAATTGGAAAATGTTTAAGGGGAAGGTTTGGTGAGCATCTTCGTGCTACCATCAACAATTATACTAGATAACTTGTTAACAGTGGCATTCACATTGTTTCGGATATGAAAAGTCGAACCCTCTTCTGATATTAACGCGATAGCCGCAAATGAGAAGTAATGCCTGCATCTCATTTCCAAGATTTGTGCACCCCATAATTATAATTATGAGCGATTTTCTTACAACTAGTTAAAGTAGACCCTGCCTGTCATTATAGCCGAAATTATGCGCATGTTTCTTTGACTCTCATCCCCCCCTCATCTAATCAATTCACTATGTCGATTGACTTTGTATTTTAACTAAAGAAAGCATATATGTGTTTTCCCGCGCCCCTCGCAGCTAACTTCCTAATGAAGTGCCTTTGCTCCTATAATTAACGTCAGCAGTTTTTCTTAATCTTTTCCAGAAATAAATGCTTTCAACAACCGAGAGATGCTGTAGGGCCCCTGCCCTTAGTTGTATGATTACGCAAGAATCACGCGTGGGACACTCGCGGGACAATATATAGATTAACAGTTGCTTCGAGCACATGTAAAACGAGAGTTTATATAGTTCACATTTTGTTAGTAATATATATCTTTTGCAATCGTTATGTTCCATACGTGAAGGGAAATAGGAGTAACATTTTGGCGCCCAACGTGGGGCTGCCAACTGGTTTAGGGATGGAATTAAAGCCGATTTTGGTGGAAATATAAGCGACATTATGTAAGACGATACGAAAGGGTTTTGACTTTGCTGTATTTGTTTATACTATGGAGAATCTCGAGGAATTACGACTAAAAGTGGAAGAGTTACTTTATAAAAACGATGTGGATGTGTTATTGCAAGCGGCCGAGAAGTTAAAGTATGAAAAGATCGAAGAATTGAAAGAAAAGTCGAGGGGTCAGATAATAAATTTAGTACGGAGATGGCTTCAAGAGATTGTCGAAGGAATTGAAAGCCCGACGGCGAAAAATCAACTTTTGAACGATGTTTTTTTAACGCTTGGTGGCTCTCCTGAATTATCGCCAGTAAATGAGAAAGAAGGAGAATTGTCAAAGTTGCAACAGGAATATGAACAGTTAAAAAGTCAACAAGAGAAACAATTGTTAGAAATGCAAGCGAAGATAGATAAATTGGAAATTGGAGTTAATGATAAATCTGCCAAAGTCAAAGTAAACAGTAGTGAAAACGCATCAGTGATTGAAGTGCCTTCAAGTACCCGGGCGTTGTTGAGAAGAGACTTTAAGATATCGGGGCAGATTGGAGAACTAGGACAAGCAGAAAAACTGACATATATCTCTCTCAATCACCAGATTGAATCAGGGCTCAAACGAAAATACACTGAGGATGAAATTGTCGATGCAGTAATCCGAGCTATTTCACCACACACAAGCCTCCGTAGTTACATTGAGACAATGCCAGAACTTGGTCTTCCCCAACTACGAAAGATCTTAAGGATCCATTATTGCGAGAAGACAGCTTCAGAATTGTACCAGCAACTAACTACAATGTGCCAGAAACCCAAAGAAAGTGTGCAACAGTTCTTGTTAAGAATTATGGATGCAAGAAATAAAGTTGTTTTTGCTAGTAAGGAAGCAGACACTGATTTCAACTATGGTAGCCAGTTAATCCAGAATACTTTTCTGAAAGCTTTAGAAACTGGAATTTGTGATGAGTATCTGACAACTAGTTTACGACCAATTCTACGAAAGGACGGTGTGTCTGATGAGGAACTTATGCGAAGCATCAATGAACTTGCCTCCCAAAAGACCGAGAGAGAAAACAAGCTTGGTTTAACAGAGAGGCTGTCTGCGAAAAGTGCCAAGGTGAGTTCTGTTGAGGGGGCAAAGGGGAAAAAGGGGACATCCCCAGAAGCCAGTGAAAAACAGGACCTCCTTCGCAGAGATCAAGGGAATAAAGTCTGAATTAAGTTCCCTTAAAGCAAAGGTTGAGGAACAGGTGTCTAAGAGTAATGCACCGTTCCAGCCAAGATATCCACGGGGTTGCCCCAAATGTAGGAGAGAAAACAATGGAAATACTTGCAGACATTGTTTTATTTGCTGTCAGGCTGGACATTTAGCCAGTCACTGCCCACAAAGGAAGGCGGAAAACGAACAGGGGCCATTTCCGAGGGACAGGAGATGGCCAAGAACATAGAACAAACGTCCCCTCAATGTGCGTTTTGCAAAAAACTCCAAGTACATGACACTATCCTTTGTTGTAAACAATGCAAAGCTGTTTATTATTGTGACCGGGAATGTCAAAGGAAACATTGGCATGATCACAAAGCAACATGTGTTGCCTTGCAAAGCATTAATCACAAGGATATGAAAGACAATGCAAACTTGGAATTCTTTGCAACCCACCTAACTCCAAGTCAACAAAATAAACTGGTACAGATAATTGGTAGAAAATGCATAGTATTGGGGAAATTAGACAATAAAGAAGTTAATGTGCTTTGGGACACAGGGGCTCAAGTGTCTTTGGTTTCAGAAAGGTTTTTGACACAAAGTCACCCAATAAAACAAATAAGAAGTTTGTCGGAACTTGTCGAGACTGACCTAAAACTCACAGCAGCAAATGGTAGTGTTATACCATATAT